TTTACCAAAAAACCCTGACTGAAAATATTCTTTTCTTATTTCTTTTTAAATGAGAACGATGAGAACGCGATCACGAAAACATTATTTTTTCCCGGATTCACACATTTAAATATACAACGAAATAAAAGAATTTAATTTACTATAATTAATTATATATAGTTAAGAAAAACAACAATTTTTTTTATAAATTGTATACAATTTTAATCTTAAATTTGAATGAGAAATGATCGCTTTGTTAGTATTTTCAAACATTTCCGCCTTTAATAGACCGAAGATTGACGAAGTAATCCGATTGGTCCGATTATAAGAGGCACACGAAGGGCACATGTGGGCACATGATCTACACTAACGCCACCCTGGATTCATGTGCCTAAACTAACGCCTCGCCGCATCTAGTATATTTATCTAAGCTGGCCCTTAGGGCGGTATTCATAGTCCCGACTTAAGCAAGGACTTAAGCTTTGCTTGATCAAGTCGGTCTTATTCGAATGAGTCGAGCTTAAGACCGTATGAATTCATAGTCAAAAATAAGCAATTGCTTGGTAAAGGAAATGCAGCTTAAGAACTTCTTGACCAAGCAAATGCTTAAGATGATCTTATTGAGCGTTCGGCTTTTTCCGTCAATATTCTCTTGTATCTACCAATAAGCGATAGTAGATAGCTTATATTCATTAGAAAAAATGACGCTAATGCACATAAAATATCTGATAAGGGAGAGGAGGGGGGGTCAAAAAAACTGAAAAATATGCATATTTTAATATTTTTAGGATAAAAGTTATAAAGTAAAAGGATACAAGAAATGACTACCAGAATGATGAAAATTGAAATATTCTTATTCCTCACGAAATATTATATTTAGATTCTAAATTTTTCTGTATTAAAAAATAGAAAAAATTATTTTAACTATTATTATATTGTTTCTAAAAAAAATTATTGAGTCAGAATCAGTGAAATTTAAAAAAAAATAAGGAGTATTTTTATAATCGAAATGAAAAAAAGCATTTTTATTTGGCCATTGTCTCTAACAAACAAACGACAGAAAAAATTTTGTTTAAAAAAAGTTATTGTAAAATGAATTTTTTTGCAACTTTTTATAAAAAAATCTTATTTTTCCTAAAACAATGAACCAAGAGTGCATATAAACGGGGTAAAACAATTAACTTTCATTTGGAACTACAAAATTTTTAAAAATAGTATTTTTTAATAATTATTTAATATTAACAGTTTTATTTCCTCATAGGGTGTCGATTTTCTTAGAATCAATTATTTTTACAAATTTTCAAGTATAGCGTATATAAATATTTCAACATGGGGAACAAATTCTCCGGATGTATGTGTGTGGATGCATATCGAAATGTTTTTTCAACATTTCGATGAAAAAAAATACTTTTTATTTCTCGTGAAAATTTTATAAATTTTGAACCTTTTTTCTAAATTATTAAATTTTAATTATTATTAAATTGTTTTTAACAAAAAATCTTTTCATTTTTATTATAAATATTTATAAAAAGACAATAAGTAATTGCTTAAGTCATGTAAAGCGTTGACTTAAAATCATAACCTCAATTCGTTCAAATAAGTTCACCGGCAATGTCAAATAAGATCATCTTATTTGACTATGAATACTTGTCATTCTTAAGATGGGACTATAAATAAGTAATTGCTTAAGTCATGTAAAGCGTTGACTTAAAATCATAACCTCAATTCGTTCAAATAAGTTCACCGGCAATGTCAAATAAGATCATCTTATTTGACTATGAATACTTGTCATTCTTAAGATGGGACTATAATCGAAGCATTTACTTTATCAAGCATATGCTTAAGTTGCGGCTTAAGGCAATGCTTATTGCACGACTATGAATCTAGGTGGCAGCTTAAGTCGCTGCTTAAGAAATAAGTATCGACTATGAATACCGCCCTTAGATTGTTATCTGTGGCATCTGGCATCAGTGCCTAGTAAATTTTCCAGGGAATTTTAAATCCTTAATAAATAAACTAAATTTTTCTATTGTAATCTTGAGAGATTCAAATTTAAATATAAATAATACATTATACAGTATTAATAATAATAATATTATTATTATTATTATTAAAATATAGGAAAACCTTAATATCGACATTTAATTTTATTTTCTCTCTCTATCGTGTAATCATTGTATTATTTAAAGATATTGTAAAACTATTATTATAAATTAACTATAATAATCTTCGTATCCGGATTTCACGATCTCTGTCCACACCTGAAGTTAGACTTTTGTGGATTCTTTTGTTTTTTTGTGAATACTATAATTTTGACATGTTTATCTTTTTGTATCATTCTGAGGTTATAGTTTGATTTGATTAATGCAAAATAATAAATAATCGCGTTTTTTCCTTTGCATAATTGTGAAGTGAAATGATTAGTATCAAAAATAAGAAGTGAGTGAGAATAAGAATGATCAAAAATAAGAAGTGAATGAGAATAAGAAGAGGAAATAATATTATTGCAGAAATATAAAGATCAGCAAAGATTGGTAAGTTTTATGTATTTAATATATATATTTTATTTTTTATGATTAATGTTTATTATTATTATATTATTAAAATTAATTAAAATTAAATAAATTAAATTATTATTTTAAAATATTAGAATTTAAAAAATATAACAAAAAATATAATATTTATTTGTTGTTGATTCAAATAATTTTTGTTATGTATCTTTTATGAGACTTTCGACTTTTTTAAGCGATTTCCTATTTGAATGTAATTTTAAATGGATAAAAAAATTTAATTTAAATTTTCGAATTTCTCAATTTTTTCCGAGTGATTTCTTAGTTAAATGTAAAATTATATTTTAAAAAACAATTTAATTAATTAATTATTATATTATTATATATTAATAATTATTTAAACAAATAATTATAAAAGAATTAAAATTATTAAATAAAATAAATTAATAAATAAAATTTATAATCAAACTAAAAAAATTAATTAAAATTTCAATAAATAATAATTAATTATTTAAAATATTATTTAAAAAAATATTTATTTGATTCAAATAATTTTCCTACGTATTTTTTATGGGATTTTCGATTTTTTGATCGATTTCTTATTCGAATATTACACTAAAAAAATGAATAAAAATGAAATATTATTATTTAAATATATTTTTTTATTTAATAAATTAAATTAAAAAAATTATTATTATTTATAAAATTATTGTAGTTAATAATTTAATAATTAATTAATTATTATTATTTAAAATAAATTAAATTAAATAAATACGAAGATTATTATTTTAAAATAGCTAAATAATTAAAAATAATACTTATTTCATTCAAATAATTTTGTTTTGTATTTGTTTTGTATTTTTTGAGCGATTTTCTATTCAAATATTTACATTAATAAATTAAATTATTACTATTTAAAAAAATTATTATTATTCAAAAAAAATATTTATTTGATTCAAATAATTTTTGTTATCAATTTTTTTGAGCGATTTCCTATTCGAAAAATTTATTTATTTTTTTCCTTTTTTTCCTACACTAATTAATTAATAATTAAAATTAAATAATTTTTTATTTAATTATTCAAATAAAATTTTTTGAGCGATTTCCTATTTGAAAAATTTATTTATTTATTTCCTATTTTTCCTACACTAAATGGAAAAAAATTAATTTAAATTTCGAATTTCTTGATTTTTTCAAAGCGACTTCTTACTTGAATGTCACAAAAAGTGAAAAAACAATAATAATTCAATTAATTAATTTTTTAATTAATTAATTATTAAAATTAAATAATTTTTTATTTAATTATTCAAATAAATTTTTTTGAGCGATTTCCTATTTGTAAAATTTATTTATTTATTTCCTATTTTTCCTACACTAAATGGAAAAAAATTGATTTAAATTTCGAATTTCTTGATTTTTTTAAAGCGACTTCTTACTTGTAAGAAACTTGTTACTTTTTAACATTAAATTACAAAAACAATAATAATTTAATTAATTATTATTATTAATTTAATTAATATTTTATTTATTAATAATTATTAATTAATATAATTAATAATAATTAATTATTATTAATAATTATTATAATAATTAATAATAATTACCAATTCTTAAAAAATTTATTGTTCCTAATAATATTTCTCTATAATGTGTAAATGTTCTATATTTTAAAGTTTCTAAATTTTTTTTTTCGAAATATCATTTGTTATAAAACTCTTTTCTTATAAATGTTTTTCAAAATAATTTTAACTTTTTCGAATTAACATTACTCATAATTTTCTTTACTCCTAATCATTCTTCTTTATAATTACTACATTTTCTAACTTGTATTTCTTCTAACTATAACTTTACCGAATTGTCACTTCTCATAATTATTATTATATCGAAATATTATTTTTCAAAATTTTTGTAATAAATAATAATTTTTTATACAAATTTTTTTTTGTATAATAAACAGTTTTTATAATTTTATTTTATTCGAATAATTATTTCGTATAATTTTTTTCGTACCGAAATTATATTTTAAATAATTTTTTTAACCGATTTTTTATTTTTCCTAATATTTATTTATCCAAATAAATTTTTTTGATAATTTTTATATTTCCTAATTCATATTTTACATAACATACATTTTTTCTAAGATTTAAATTCTCTAATTTTTTATTTTCCTAACCTATAAATGACATAATAAGAATTGCACCGAATAGTTATTTCACATAATGAGTATCCGGTTACGATGTTTCCCATCTCTGAAGAATGTGGCGCCAAATTTGAAAAAATGTTATTATTTTATTATTTAAAAATTATTAATTATTACAAATTGTGTCAAGTTTGTGAAAAAGTTTGGATGAAAAGTGTGGTGTGATTGCATAGAAAGGTAAGAAAGAAAAGAACGAATTTGTGGGTTAGGTTTAGAACGTGGTGAGTGAGTGTGAGAGGTGTACGGGGGTGAGAGAGAGATTAGAGGAAGGCGAAGATCACGAGGTATAATCACGTGGGAGACTGAGAAATATGACGACTAGATCGCCGGTAAAGGGGAAAGGGCAGGGGGGTTTAGACGATGAGCGAACGAAGAAGAATGATAGGGGAGAGCGGGGAGAGACAGTAGTGGATCAGGGAGAAAGGGAACTAATCGAGTCGTTGAAGGAAAAAGAAACGGTGAAGGGGCAAGAGGGGAACCAGAGAGCAGGCAGGAGTTTATCTTTGACAGACGATGTTGTGCCGGGCGAATCAAATGTGAATTTGAAACCAGGAAGGTTGACTAATTTTCAAAGAACGCAGCGACTAAAGGGTGCAGGATCTTCTGAAATGATGGAAAAATTTGCTTTAAAGGATAAATTAGGAGAAAAAGATTTTAATAAAAACAAAGATAAACAAGAATTAGACAGGAAAAGAGAAATTAAAGCGAAGAAAGAAGTCAAAGAGTTAGGAGACTTAGAGGAATTAATTAAGAGAATGGGGGAAAATACGAATATTTGTATGGAGAAAATTAATAAAAATTTGGACAGAAAATTGGACAGTGTCTCTGAAGGATTGAGTAGTGAAATAGGTAAAGTTAAAAAAATGTGTGAAGAATGGGAAAGAAAATGGAGTGAGGAGAAGGAGAAAATGTACGAAAAGTTGGAAAAATTAGAAAAAGGGCAGAAAGATATAGAAGTAGAAATGGAAGGGGAATTAAATATGGTGAAAGAGGAAGTGAGAGAGTCAAGAGAAATAATAGGGGAATTAAGAAAGAGGATTACTAGCCTAGAAACAGGGACAGAAGGAGGTATAAGAAGTCAGGAAGGATTGGTACTGGAGGAAAAAATGAATGAGGTTTCGAGATGGATGGATAGGACAGAAAAAGAGAAGAGAAAGAATAATATTGTGATTAAAGGAATGAATGTGATACGAAGAGAAGGAAGGAAAGCTATACAAAAAGTATTAGAGGACATAGGAACGGATGTAAAAATTATAGGATTGAATGGTGTAGGAGGAGAGGATAAAGAGAAACCGAAAGTGTGGATAGTGCAACTGGAGAATGAAGAACAAAAAATGGAGGTGATCTCGGCGAAAAATAAATTGAGAGGGAGGAAGGAAATTATAGAAGAGGATAAAACGTGGAAAGAGAGGGTGGTTTCAAGGAAATTAGATCAGAGAAAATGGGAAGAGAGTGCAAAAGGAAGTGAAGTTAAAAGGGGAAGAGACTGTCTGTGGGTTAATGGTATTAAATGGGTGGTTTGTAATACAACTGGAGAGGTGGTGGAGGAGGAAAGGGGAAGAGAGAGAAACACCTCACAGGAAAGGAATAGAAGAAACAGAGGACAGGTTTTTCGGAGGGAAGGGGGGGGGCAGTTGGGGAAGATCACAGAAAGCAGGAATAAAAGTTGGGTTTTGGAACGTAGGGGGCATTAAAAATAAAGACGAAGGGTTTTGGAGAACGATAGAGAAATGGGACGTGATGTTTCTTAGCGAGACGTGGGTGGAAAGGAAAGATTTAAAGAAAATAGAAAGGCTATTACCAAAAGGGTACAGATGGAAAATGCAGGAAGCAAAGAGAGAAGGACAAAGAGGAAGAGGATCGGGAGGGATTATTTCAGGGGTAAGAAAAGAGGTTAAGGAAGTAAGAAAGGGTTGCACGGTTGTGGATGAAGATTATTTAGTGAGGAGTATTAAAAGAGGTAGGGAAACGATAGATATTGTTGGAATTTATAGAAGAAGAGGTGAGGAAAAGGGATGGGGAATAATTAAAGATTGGATGGAAAAAGGAAAGGACAAAAAGGTAATAATTGGGGGGGATTTAAATGCATGGACCGGGGAATTGGGGGGTGGTTTATGGGATGAAGAGCTGGAAAAATACAGCAGAGTTTCCAGACATAAGAAAGTGGATGAAGAGGGTAAGAGGCTACTACAATTGTTAGAAGAAGAAGGATGGTCCATTGTCAATGGAAATATGAGAGGTGATGAGGAAGGGAATTTCACCTTTAGAGGAAAAGGAGAATCCGTTATAGATTATGTGCTGACAGATGACAAGGGAAGGGATGAAATCATTAAAATGAAAGTAGGAAGAGAAATAGGGTCTGACCATTTTCCTCTGGTTGTAGAAATAAGGGATGGGAAAAAGAAAGGAAGAAGTGGACTGGACAAAGGGGTTAGAAAACAAAAGAAAATTAAAATGGGTAAATGGAATGTGGAGAGGCTTGGCGAATTCCAGGAAAAAATGCGGAGAGAAATGGAAGAGTGGGAGGATGAAGAGGGAGTGGATAATAAAATAATTAAAATAAGAGACAAGATCGATAAAGTGAAAAAAGAAATGGGGGATGTAGAAGTGCAAGAGTTAGGGTATAGAAAATGGTGGGACAATGAATGTGAAGAGAGCAGGAAAAGAATGAAAGGATACATTAAAGAATGGAGGAACGGGGAAATGGAAAGAAAATAATACAACAGGAGACACAAAGATCACGAGAAATTATTAAAGAGAAAAAGAGAAATGGAGAAGAAAAGGTTTATGGAGGAAGTAGAAAAAGCGGTGCAAGAAGGTAAAGAATGGGAGGTAATAAATAGAGAAAGAAAGAAGGGGAAACCTATGAATAGGAAGATTAGAATAGAAGAGTGGACTAAGTATTTTATGGACATGAGTGGGGGAACGGGACACAAAGTAAGGGGGGAAGGAAGAAGGATGGTGAGAGATGATGATGTGGAAGAGGTGTCAAGGGAAGAGGTAGACGAAGCGATAGACAAGCTGAAGAGGAATAAGGCGGTAGGAAAAGATGAGATGGAGGGAGAGGGTATAAAATATGGTGGTGAAAAGGTGAGAAGGGTGATATGGGAAATTGTCAACGAAGTGTGGAAAGGAAATGGATGGCCAGAGGAATGGAAGACAGGCCTGATTGTACCGTTAGTCAAAAAAGGGGAAGGAGAGAAAATAGAAGAGTATAGAGGCATTACCTTAATGCCAGTGAGCTATAAGGTATATGCGGAGATACTCAGGAAAAGGTTGGAAAAAGAAGTGGAGGAAAAAGGAGGAATTCCACACAATCAGGCTGGGTTCAGGAAGGGTATGGGCACCATGGACCATATATATACCCTCAATTACTTAGTGAATAAAAAATTGCGGGAGAAGGGGGGCAAATTAATAGCCCTTTTCGTAGATTTCAAGGCTGCATTTCCGTCTGTGAATAGGAGCATATTGTGGAGAACATTAAAGGAAAGAGGGATTAAAGATGGGATTGTAGAGAGGATCAAAGAAATGTACACGGATGTGAGGGCGCAGGTTAGAGTAGGAGAAATAATTGGGGAAGAGTTTTGGTTGGGTAGAGGTTTGATGCAAGGTTGCCCTCTAAGCCCTGTTCTTTTCAGTTTGTTAATGGCGGACTTGGAGGAGAAGTTGAAACGAAGAGGAAAGGGGGGGATAATATTGGGTAATGGGAGAATTTACTCACTTGCATACGCGGATGACGTGGTATTGATGTGCGAGAATGAGTCAGGAATGAGGTTGTTAATTAAGGAATTTGAAAAATATGTGAGAGAGAAAGGTTTATGGATAAATGTGGAAAAAACTAAGGCGATGAGATTTATGAAGAAAAATGACGGAAAGCAGAATGAATGGAGAGTGAATGGAAGAGTGGTTGAGGAAGTGGATGAGTTTTGTTATTTGGGTTTTTGGTTTCATTATAGTGGAGGGCATGAGTTGAATGTAAGTAGAAGGGTGGAAAGAGCGAATAAGATAATGGGTCAGGTATGGGGAATAGGTAAGAGAAGGTTCAAAAATGACTGGAAAAAGAGATTGTGGTTGTACGATACGTTAGTATGGTCGGTGGTGAGTTATGGTGTGGAAGTATGGGGATGGATGGAAATGGAAAAAGTAGAAAGTATGCATGAAAAATATTTGAGATGGGTTATGGGTGTGAGTGGAAACTGTCCGGGGTACATGTTAAGAGAGGAAGTTGGGAGAGAAAAAATGAAAGTAAGACAGAGAAGCAGAGCGTGGGGTTTTGAGGAAAAATTAAGACAGGGTGGAGGGTGTAGTTGGACTCGAAAGTGCTGGGGGCAAGTGAAAGAAAGGGAGTTGAAGGGAAGGAAAGAAATGTCAAGGTGGGAGATTAAAAGAATGGAGGCAATTAAAGAAAATAGATAGAAAATGGACAGAAGTGAGAGAGGGGTGGAAAGAAAAAGATAAGGAAGAGAGATGGGAAAGAATAATAAACTCGAAATATAATAGATGGTACGGGTTGGTAAGAGGAAGAGATATACCACAATACTTAAAGAGAATAAGGAAGGAGGAGAGATGGAACAGAATGATAAGGTTCAGAATGGGGGAAGGAATGCGTGAATGTAAATATTGGAAGGATGAGAGTGAGAGATTGTGTAGGGTGTGTGGCTTTGAGTTAGAGGATTGGGAACATGTTCTAGATAGATGTACAAGTGGTGGAGAGAATGAAAAAGGTGTGGATGAAAGGATAAGATGGATATTGGATGAGAATGGGCAAGGTGAGAAATGGATGATTGAATTAGAACAAATGAGAACAAATATTAAGGTAAATTAAAGATAAAGAGGGTGGGAACGAGTTTAAAATAAAGTTTAAAGTTTGATGAAGCCTAATGGAACGGGAAACGGAAGCCCGGCACTGGCGAATAATTAGAAAATTAGAAAATAAGATTTTTGTATTAGGTTAAGTTAAGTTAAGAGATTGTACACTAGGATAAGAATTTTTGTATTATGGTTCCTCGAACCCTGCAATATTAAGCAGGGAGAGTAAATAAAGTAATATTTTTAAAAATAGTAAAAATTTATCTAATAATATAAATTTTTTAATAATAAATTTTACTTATTTCGAAAGAATTTATTTTTATTACTATAATTAAAATAAGCATATAAAATTAATTATAATTTTTTTACATTTCAGAAGACGTACTACCATACATTGCTGTAAATGAAATGGATAACATTAAAATCATCGAAGGAAAAGAAAGAATGCCTTGGGAGAAAACCATATTAGGCTTCAAAATCGCCAAAATAAATTAATCAATGTTTCTATGATTATTTTATTTTGTTCTTCGATTCGATCCCTCAATTAATTAACAACAAACGTGTAATATTAATTACTGCAAATAAAAACAATAGATTATTCTATAATTTTATGTTTATTATTAAATTAAAAATATTATTATTTATTATAAATTTATTTTTTTATAATTTTTAATTTCAATTATAATAATATTTTAATTTATTCTAAATATAATATTTTCTAATACAAATTTTTATAAAAATAATTTCTAAAAAATTAAAGTAACAATTTATTTTTTTATTAAATAAAATAATAATTTTATACCTAAATTATATTTAATTATTATTTTAAAAAAATAAACCAATTACTCCGAGTCAAATTTTTTTTAAAAATCTTAATTCCTACAGAAAAATAATAAGTAAATATTTATTTCAAAATGTAGTTATTTATATTTTTTAATAATTTTACAATTAAGAGAATTCGTAAATAACTGCAATAGTAGAATAAAAAAAAAGTTCAACATTTTTAGTATTTAGTTTTTTGCAAGTTGTTTATTATTAATGTTTAAAGAATACAGAAAAAAATGAAAGTTATAAACTGGTAAAGTGGGGGCTGAAAAAAAGAAAATACGAACTGGTTGACAATGTGAAGATTTTTGTAATGTTCTAAAACAAAAAACCTAAAGAAATTATTATTTACTATAATAATTGATTATAAAAAAGAATTCTGCAAAATTTAAAGTAAATCGATTAAGTAGATTTTTTGTTATTGTGTCAACCAGAAATTTTTTCAGTTATGAAATTTAACAGTTTATAACTTTTTAAATTTTTTATTATTTTTTCTAATTTTTTCTGTATTCTATAAACATTAATAAACAACTTGCAAAAAAATAATTAATATTAAAAATATTTAACTTTCTTTTTTATCAAAATTTTTAAAAAAATTAACAGAAATAATTATTACTAGGCATCAGGCTAAAATTAAAACATTTAATTTCTGAATTCTGATTCATGTTCTCATCAGAATTATATTCATGTTATTTAATGTGATATATTTTTCCATAATAAAATATATCGGATACGTGAATAACATATCTTTAATGGTTTAATACACATATCATAATAAGTTTTTCATTGTGAAATAAGAAATATGATATGCGCGCGTAGCGCGCAAAGTTTGCTAGTAATTATATAAAACTGTAATTCGATATAATATTAATATTAATTTAAGTTTATTATTATTATTAGTGTTTAATTAATTAACGAATATGCATTAAATATTTTACTTATAATTTAAAAATGAAACGAAATTATGATTATGAAATACTGAATTTGTACTTCTTATTATTGATAAGAAAAACTGTGAAATTATATTGTAAATCTTCGTATGACGGTTATTTTATTGCGC